GGGATCAAATATGGACATGAAAGTATTGATGGTGTTAGAGTATATGAGAGAGCTTTACGTGGGACAACTTCAGCTTCTGAAGAAGATGTTTCCAGGTGGAGCCAAAGACGAGTTTCTTGGTTTCTTCAATAAAATCGGAGACGCTATGTCTCAAATGAAACAAGATTCTCGTACTCCTGCCAAGTCAATGACTATGCAGAGGAGTCTCAGTGCTGGTTCGCAGAGCGTCACCTTGAGAGGTGTTAATCTTGGCCCACCAGATTTAAGAGATGAGAGGTTTAAAGTTACAACGGTTGATACCGGAAATGCTCCTCCAGCTGGTGGAGCTAGTGGTGCTGCCGGAGGAGGTAAAGGTGGCACGGCGGCGGCAGGTCAAGGCCAAACCAAGAAGTAGTCAGGCTTTGTGACATGTGACCATGGATGATCAAACCTTCTATTTCAGGGTTTTGCATTACATAAGAGGTTTACTTTTGTGAAATGAAATGTGATTCTTTTATTATAATCTTACTTCTTTTCCTAGTTGGGTTTGTTTTATGTTTTAGTATATATAGTGATGAAAACATCAGACCCATCAAAAGGTGGAAAGGAATTAGGAGTTTTATTTGTTATCAACTGAATAAAAAGAAGCTTACCTTTGAGCTTTGTTTTCTTTGGTGTTTGATTCTTATTTTCTGTAATCTTCTGTTCAATTAATAAGACAAGCTTTGTTTTCTGTTTTGTTCATGAATTTTTTAAAGTCAATAACAGATGACATTACCTCATATATTTACATGTAAGAAGTTGCTAAGAGTTTGTGTGTCTTCAGTGTAAATTCCCTCTCTGTGCAGCCACAATGAAGACCAGTAGAATCGGAGACGCGAGAAGAATGGCATAAAGGAGTGTCTCATATATTCCCGTTGCGTATCCTTCCTCCTCTGCTTTGTAATTCATTTTGTCGTTTTCGACAAAGGCTTCAAAGTAGTTCTCATAGCCCATGTTCATCTGCATGAAGCTCGACCCCCGAACCTTCAGCATCTCCATTGCCTACAAGTGTGCAAAGAAAAAACCCACTGATTTTAAGGGAGATTGATTGCCAAAAAGACGGAAAACGAGAGGATAGAAACCGCTATAATCAAACATGATATAATATTAAGCCAACTCTTTTCTCGCTCTGGAATTCATTTAGGCACACAATAAGCAAACAAAAATAGTTGTTTGAATGGCTCTTGCAATTTTTTTTAGTTACCTGGAAACTGAACATGAACTGCCTCGCTTTCTTGCTCACTTTCGGATTAGGGTGGGATAGAAGCTTCTCATACATGCCCCTTGCCTTATCTTCCCTGTCAAGGATTCCAAAATAACGTATTTAACGGACAAGAGCCCAAAGGCCAATACTCAACAAGACTAATTTTAAGGACCTTTTTAGAAGATCATCAAATGAACCACCAATTTGGTTAAGCATAAATAGGTGATGTTTCAAATATATATCGAATATTTTGTGGTTCTTAGGGCCTTTTTGGAGCTTGGGAGAGTTATTGGGTTCTGTAGAAAAAATCTATACGACATTCTGATTTGGTAACTCTGGGTTCAGTGTCTGTACCTTCAGCCTTGAGGAGAAATGAAACAGATTCTTTTTTCAAACCTTCTCAATCTCATGCTACAAAATCAAACAGGTCCACAATAAAGCATGCTACTTACTTTCGAAGTGAATCCTGACAAATAGACCATTGCAAAGCCGCTAATCCATGAAGCTCACTCTGCACAACTAAACTCATAACTAGTTAGGGTCAGCGGACATAAGAAGTAACATCATTTTCTGAAGCAGGCTAATTCTTTCGGTGATATAAGTGGATCAAAGGATTAAGATGTCGATAGAGTAACAACTAACAAGATCATGAAACTAATAATGCAAAATAATCAGGTTCTTAAAAATGCTTCTATTCTCCATGCGGTCGGCTATTATAAAAGATTGTTGGATTTTTGCTCCACATACATGCAGATGGGTAGATAATAAAGAAGTCTCATAAAGTCAAGACGAGTTAGGCATATCTAGAACGAATAGTCAGATGAGCAGACTAATGGATAAGCGTAGACATGAGTACAAGATGAAGTAATAAACCAGCTTTGGAGAAATTACCTTAAAAACTATTTTCTCCATAACTTTTTCATAGTACGGCAAAGCTTCTTTGAGTTTCCCAGAATCCATAAGCGAGTTACCCTTCTCTAGTGCCTATTATAAAGAAAGAAGCGTCAAAACTAAGGGAAGAAGTAGATAATGAGAAACCTTGAAGCACAAATAGGAACAGAACGTGTCTGTAGATAAAGCAAATAACTTTTTCTCCATTCAAATTAATTTTCAACTATCTAGAAAATGTGGCAACGTGCAAATCTGATATTAAAATATGAGAATCTGCTTGAGCAAACATGAGTCCATACACAGTCTCAGCCGAACCCATATCCTTGCTCCATATGATCTAATAATAGGATTCTAAAGGCAGCAACTAAAATTTTATTAGATAGAGTTTGAAAAATTCTCATTGAGAGCAAAAGTATGCTGATTACCGATGCACGTGGTCGGAACTATTGACATCAACATCGGGTCTGTCCTCAAAAAAGGAAGAACAAAAATGTTTTGGGAGTACCTTCTCACACTCAAGTTTGAGTTGGGGATCAATATTCAGTCCAATTGACTCCTTGTAGGCAGTGAGCAATTTTTTTGTCCGTTCTTCTCTCGCAATCCTCTCTTCAGCGGTTTCAACTGAATCCCCAGGTTGGATAGTCCTTCCACCACCAAACTTAAACCAGAAAAGTATATATCTCATCATGACTTGATGCCACAAATGCCAAAAGGAAAATATGCATTCCAATACCAATCAACGTTACGATTTGCCAAACTTTTCAACAGAAAATATAAATTCATACAGCCAAAATTGGCCTCCCATGCCCATGAGCATGAATGGATCAGTGTTAGAGGTTCAAGTTGTTCAGAAACCTAGTGCAAACGCTATTCGGAGAACATAGGGTTCTAGAAGATATAGCTTCATTACTTCTCATCTAGCTTAAAACGAGGTATATAAATCTAGCAGAGTTGATAGAAATTTAAAGACAATCACCAAGAAATCAATTATTCAAACAACTCAAACAACAATCACTATCTACCCACTTCAGAATACTAAGCAAATTTTATACTATAGCTCCAACTCATAATGTGCTTAAAGCTATAGGAAACTATGCCAACAAGTCATTTTGGTTGCATCATATTTGACAGTAGACTAATGACACATGATCTAAATGGAAAATTCTTGATAACTTAATGGTACTCCTACCTCTAAATATCTGGAGTAAACAACTTCTTTCTCCTTGGGGATTCTGAAACAACTAATCAAGTTGCATAACACATGTCTTTAGATAGACTAATCACATACCGTTTTAGAAATGTTGCTAGGTCTTGGAAAAACTCCCCATGTCGAAACTTTGGGCTTATATACATCAGAGTTTTCATTTCCTTCTTGCTCGAGCTCCTTTTCTTTCTCTGCAAATCTTGTTTTATCACCAACTATAAACTCTACCTCAGGTAAGTCTCCACCAGGAAAATAGTCGACAACAGGAACCAATCCGGGAGGAAGCCCCCTTGTACTCTTCTTATCAGCAAAGCCAAGCCCAACGAAATCAATGCTGGAGACTTTCAACCCTTTCTTCTTACCATCATTATCTTCATCAACCTTAGATGATGATCTAACAAAACTTTGCTCTGTACTATCTGAAACCCATCAGAAGCAAGATATAAAGATCATGTTTTGATTGAATTTGTAATACATACATTAACATGTCAAATCAAATATACATTAACTTTTCACATATTGACAACATCCACAAGCATTTCAATGCATACCATTAATGCAGCTAAAATTCATAAGAATGGCAACGAAACTAAATCAATTTCACTAAAGCCTATCGAAAATTTGCATTGATTTGCTCAAACAGAATTTTCTGCAAAGTTAAGGTGTTTACTCGACGATTCCTCGTCGCCGGAATTTTTCTCTCGGTCTCTTTGCTCCGATTTCGATTTTTTGTACGCTTCGGCTTTCTTCAAAGCAAGCTTCACTGGATCCACCGCGAGCTCAACCTCCGACGATCGGTCCGGCGAGGAGGAGTTAGGCAGAGACGGAGATTTGAATCGGAAAACAGAGACTGTCAAGGATTTTGGTTGTGGAGATGGAGAGAAGAAGAAAAATGAAGTTTCGGCAAGTGGAGAAGAAAGCCAAGAGTGGCTCAGAGAAGCCATGGATTCGTGGAGAGAAGAGCTTGAATTTAGCGAAAAAAAATGTATTTTTATATTTTAAAATTGTTTTTTGTTTCACAGTAGCACAAAATTCGAGTTTGGTTTGGGTTTGGTTTCCAATAATATGAAATTTGATTCGGTTTTGGACTGATCAATTTTGGTTTGATTCGGTTCCGGTTAGATAACTTTTTTTGGAGTTCGTATTAGATTTTGGATCCAATCTCGGCCCAAGTCCAGGTGTTACTAAAACTAACGTGAC